AAAAACCAAGTCCCAAGTGCCTTGGTCCCACAGAGTATGCATCTCCTTGTCCATCGCTGCCTTCACCGCAGGGCCCTTCCAACTCTTCAGAGCGACAGGGACAGGCATCTTCGAAATGTCCCAACGACGTTCCGGATCTGCCACACGATCTTCTGCAGAGTCCAGCTCTGGCAGTTTCACGTCTTCGCTTCTGCCGTCGAGGGCGTTCATCACGAATGCCGTCAACGCTGCACGATGACGAACTGGCGGAACACCTTTGTTGGTGCGCGTCGATCGCCGGAGGGGTTGCACCTCTACATGCGTTTCGTCTGTAGAGTGCTCTTGGCAGAGGACGACGACTCCCCTGCAGAAGATGATTGCTCTTCTGCGGTCGGATCGTCTGCGACATTCTTCTGCCGCTCTGCAGTGCGTCGTTCACTGGGGATGACGCCGAGAGGCTCCTCACTCCCCTCCTCACCAGAGGACGACGCAGAAGGAGAGGGGGAGCTGGGCCGCGCAGAGGGTGCATGAGGCTCTTCTACCGTCGGAGAGTCGGCAGAAGCATCCGCCTTAGGATCTGCAGAGGACAGAGTATCTTTGATAGTGGAAGGCCCGGTCGGCGGCAGAGTTGGTCCAGAAGTCGAAATCGGCACAGATGGCAAAATTCTAACAACCTCCTCATCCTCATCCTCCTCTGCCTCCACATGCTCTTCTGCAACCAGATCCGACCAAGACACCGCCTTGTCGAAGACAGAAGAGTCAGCGACTTCGATGGGAGTCTGCCGTGTGGCTAACCAGTTCCGTCGAGCGACATCGTCTCGTAGAAGATCGCTTCCACTGTGGTGACCAAGCGATTGGTCGCCAGATCAAGCACCAGCCATCCCTTGCTCTGCTGCGACACCCCAAGATGGAGAGCCCATCGGGCCTTAGGTGCCAGCTTCCCTCCACGCTTGTTCTGCGGAATCAGAAACTGCAGCATACACCCGAAGATCATCTCGTACGGCGTGATGCCCGATGGCAGAGAAGAATGCTCGAGGTGGTTCCGCACCCAGACCGCTTGCACAGCAGCAAGATGCCACCAATGGTGAGGAGCACCCATGTGCAGAAGCATAGTCCTCACGCCCTCGACGACAGTCCCCATTTCGCGTTCTGCCATTCCGTTCTGCTGTGGCGTGTAGGGACATGTAAGATCGTGCTCAATTCTCCGCTCTTCGAGGAATTCTACGAACTGTTTGCCAAAAAATTCGCCCCCACGATCGGAGCACAGAGCCTTCAGAGTTGCCTCGCATTGTCGTTCTGCTCTGGGAAGCCATTTCCGAAAGACGAACAATGCGCCACACTTCTGCGCGATCGGATAGACCCAGACGTAGCGTGTCTTGCGGTCTTTGAGCCAAAGAAAGTAGCGGCTGCCATCCTTAGCGGGAACTCGGAAGGGCCCGGAGAGATCGACGTGCACTACTCCCAGCACTTTCTTCTCGTCACTCCCTTCAGCCGGAAAACTATGTCGAGCGAGTTTGCCACCGACACAAGAGACACATGGCAGATCAGTGCTATGCGTCTTCTTAATGTCCAAGCCCGTAACTGCTCCGTGCGCCGCAGTTCGCCAAATCGTCTCGACCCCAGCATGGGCCAGGCGAGCATGCCACACGTCCGTTATGGAGCGCGTGTCAGTCGCCAATATGCACAGAGCAATCGCTTCTGCCGCGGCCATGGCTGCAGATTGGTGCTGAGAACCCGGCCTTTGTATCGAGCTCTCCCGAGTAGAACGCCGTCCGCAGAGAGCAGGATAGTGTCCTCGCCAGTGTCCTGCAGCTTCACTCCGCAGTCCTTCAGCTGACCGGCAGAAAGCAGATTGGCTTGGATTCAAGGGGCGTATAGGACATCTTGGACCAAGATCCTCTTCCCAGCCTCGCCAAGCAGAGCGATGGTTCCCCGTCCTCGAACACCTTGGATGGCGCCGTTAAATCCGCGAACTTGCTGGATTTCACTGTCCTTGCACATTTCTACGAAGGCCTTGTCATCTCCCATGAGGTGGTGCAAACATCCACTATCTAGCAGAATGACCGCAGGGTTGTCTTCTACAGCAGCTGCGATCGCCTGGAAGTCTTCGCCATCCTCTGGATCCAACGAGATGGGTAGATTGTTCGTCTTCTGCTGTTCTACGATCGGCTCAACCATCGCACACAAGGGTCCTTTTCGATCAGCAGAACTAGAGCTCGCAGAAGAACCACCACTCTGCGCGCCAGAGGGCGGATTACTTTCCCGCTTCTGCAAATGATCAGCGTTCCCCTTGCCTTTGCGATATGGGCACTGAGCAGCGAAGTGACCGATTTCACCGCAGACGAAACAGGGTTTATCATTGTTCTTCTTGGCCGACTTCTTCTTGTCGTTTCGGCCGTCCTTCTGTTCTGCGGCGGAGTCATTCGTAGAAGAAGCCCATCGCCTCTGCAGTTGCTGCTGCTGCTGCCGCGGTGGCTGTCCCATCGACGCCCAGTTTGATTGTGGCAGAGGAGACTCCTTGCACTGCTCGATCGCAAGGGTAGATTCTTCCTCAACGATGTAGCTCGTCAGAGTGTTTTCGTCGAGGGTTTTCAGCACTTCCGGAAACTTGATCATGCGCCGTAGATAGCTGTACTGCGATGGCAGACCCTTTGACGATGTGCGTCACGTAGGAAGCCGTAGAGTACCGTACTCCGGTCATCCGCAGATTTGCCAGCAATTGCTGCGCACGAGTGCAGTAGGCGGTAGCAGTCTTGTACTCTGCCATCTCCAGACTTGCCAGACTCTGCTCCAACTGACCGACGTAGAGATCGTCAGTGGCCTTGTAAGTCTTCATGATGAAACGCCATGCTTGGTAGCCCGCATCTACTCGCAGACGACAACCCTTCAACGCCAACTTCACAGAAGGCGAGCAGCATCACGAGATCACCATGAATGTCAGCAGCTGGGCAGAGCAGAACTGCCCGTACCGCGATGCATCCGATATAGGAGGGGCTTTCGTTGACCCGTCGACAAACCGCATCAGTTGTGCAATCTCCAGCTGAGGTTCTATGGACTCGACCCACAACGCCAAGTCGTGTCGTCCCTCAAGGAGCCTTGGCACCACGATTTTGTCAGGAGAAAACTTGAAGTAGCCGAATTCAGGAGCAATCCCTCCATCCTTCGAGGCTGTCGGTAGAAAGGTAGTAGAGCCGTCGGCAGCGTTGTCTTCGCCGTCACGTCCGCCAGAACGGCCTTCTTCAGCAGCACTCTTCGTCCTCAAGCTTGGCTCCCTTGCAGGATCCCTTCCGTCGCCCACGCTTGATCCTTCACCATTCGGCGTTTCTCCTTCTCGTAGAACACCGCGCGACTCTCGCACTCCGACTTCTGCCAAACCTTCCACGTTCTCCTTGTCTCGGGAGACTTCCGCTGCACGTGCCCGCGGATGATCCATCTCCCATTGAGCTCGTAACCCTGTCAGCATGAAGTTGAGCTCCTTCTCTGGGAGGTCTTCATAGCGGGCTATCAAGGCAGCCTCCTGCGCCTCGAGATCGTCGACCACCTTGCGGACGTCCGACTCGCCGTCCGTCATATCGACAATAGAGACCTTCTGCGAAACCTAACGTTGTAGATCTGACCTCTATCGTTCGCGTGTTCGATCCACGCTCACCGCACCATGCAGAGTTTTCTGCTAAAACGGGAGCTTCTGCAAAAGTGCCTGACGCAGATAGAGCTCTCTAGCTCAGTCGTTCTCTAAGGAGAAAGTTGCCTTCAGAATTGTGTGTTTTACAGAGTAGCTTGAGAAAGCTTAGGCACACAAATTCACTAGAATCAAGATTACAAAGTATGGTACACAAGGCAAACACTAGTATTACCAGGGGCTAAAATTGGTTTTGGGACGTCCTTTGAAAACAAGGTCGCCCCACCAAAACACCCTGTCATACAGGGTACCTAAATCTGGCAGTCTGATTTTTCAGGGTAAACATTTTGCATCCCTGTTTACACAGGGTATATTTAAAACCACCCTGTCTTATATTGCCCTTTAAAGCCATTGACTACAATAGCGATTGTCTTATGTTGCTGGCTTGACGAAATGTATAGTGTGACACGATTGACGAACTTGCGACTCAAGCGAGTTGCGCCTGGGGGGCGAAATTGGAGGGGCGGGCGAATGAAAGTTGCAAGGGCAGGTAAGGGCGTGTGTCGTACAGTGTCGGAACCCAGCAAGTTCCGCAACTCGGACTGGTCACATGGTTTGCATCTCATTTCGATAAGGCTTCGCGAGCTCTTCCCCGGGAGAAATCTTCGTCAATTTTGGAACCAGTTCCGGAATTTCCGAAGGCAGAACTGTAAGACAAACACCCCAAGGAAATTCAATAGATGACAAATTTGGTGAAGGGCCGATGAACGCTCTCTCACATCCTCCAGCACACATCGCCAGAAACGTTTGAAGGTTCAATCGGTCCCCTTGCACCTCCTCCAGTAAGGTTGGGAGGAAATCTGACCAAGGGCCAATCAGCACCTCCCCTCACACGGCCCCAGCACACATCGAGCGTTTACTTTGGCTAAGGGCCAGTTAGCCCAATTACACTGCCCCAGCACACATCGAGTGCTGATTTTGGCTAAGGGCCAGTTAGCCCTCTCACACAGCCCCAGCACACATCGAGCACAAATTTTGGCTAAGGACCAGATAGCACCCTCACCCAGCTTGCGTTACGCATCTGGTGCTGATTTTGGCTAGCCAGACAAGGCTTTAAGGATAGTTACCTTGCTGCCCTGTTTCATCAGGGCTGGAGGGTCGCAAACCCGGATTTTAAAAGAGTAAAATATTTGCTACACTTTTCGGATCAGGGTTATGAAATCGCAAACCCTGAAAAATCAGCCCAACTAAAAAAACTATCCTGAAAATCAGGGTAATCAGGGCATTTTACCCACATATTTTGGGCCCTGAGTACTACCCCATTGAACCTCATTGAACATGGCGAGAACGTTCGCACAAGAACGTTTACATAACTACTCTAAGCTGCGCGTAGCCAAGTCAGCAATGGCAGGTGAAAATTACAGCACATGCTTGGTTTGTATTTTTTCCCACTCAGAAGTAGTTGTTTTAACAGTTTCAGATATGAAACTGTCAGATGTTACGCACATTTCCGCAGTTACGAAATGTGCGTCACGTGTTCAATTTCTCAATGTCGCAGGTAGATTCTGCCGTTCTCGGTTCAAATCGGTTCTGAGGTTATCTTACGAAATCGCGAATTTCTCGCGATTTCGGAACATACCTTCATCAGAAAAACTACGTCCTCGTCTTTTCTGTCGAAGGGGCGCTCGCAAAGTAAAGTCCGAGATGACTCTCTGACGAGCTTCTGCCGAGTTTCGTTTCTGTCGAGGGGGTCGTCCACAGAAGAGATAGCCGAATTGCATTTCTGCAGAACTCCCGCAGACCGCAATTCTGCGCGAACAGGTTCTTGCGCCACTCTGCCCGAAGTCCTGTTGGAACGTATTTCTGCAGAGTCGCTTCTGCCGAAAGGGTCGCCCGCAGAAATGTCTTCTGCGCGATACTTCTGCAGAGGACAACCCTTCTACGAATGGCCCCTGGTGCCAAATCCGCAGAGGGTCTTGTACACTCTCGATTCTGCTGAGACCGCTTCTACAGAAGCACCGAAATCTGTAGAAGCCGTATACAGAAAAACGCGCTCCTGTTCTGCCACTCCGACAGAACCGCTTTTCTGCCACCAACGAAAACTGCTCTTCTGCCACTTCCCGCAGAGCCTCGCCTTGTAGACAAATCTGCTCTTCATCTATGGGCCTTTCTGCAGGGCTCATGTCCGCAGACTTCGTTGATACGCCGCTTCCGCAGACTTCTGCAACCTTTGCAGGATCAGGGCTATTCTCAACAGAACGGAGGGGGTACGGAAAAGGGGGAGGGACGGAGGGGGGACGACAAAACGGGGGGAACGGAGGGGGGACGACAAAGGGGGAGGGACGGAGGGCGGACGGCAAAGGGGGAGGAACGGAGGGGAGATGGCGAAGGGGGAGGAAGGTAGGGGGGACAGCAAAGGGGGGGGAACGGAGGGGGACGACAAAGGGGGAGCAAAGGGGGGGGACGACAAAGGGGGAGGGAAGGAGGGGGGACGACAAAGGGGGAGGGACGGAGGGGGGACGGCAAAGGGGGAGGAACAGAGGGGAGATGGCGAAGGGGGAGGAAGGGAGGGGGGGCAGCAAAGGGGGGGGAACGGAGGGGGGACGACAAAGGGGGAGGAACGGAGGGGGGACGGCAAAGGAGGAGGAACGGAGGGGAGATGGGGAAGGGGGAGGAAGGGAGGGGGGACAGCAAAGGGGGGGAATGGAGGGGGGACCACAAAGGGGGGGGGACGGAGGGGGGATGGCAAAGTGGGAGGAACGGAGGGGGGACGACAAAGGGGGAGGGAAGGAGGGGGGATGATAGGGGAGGAACGGAGGGGGGACGACAAAGGGGAGGGACGGAGGGGGGACGGCAAAGGGGGAGGAATGGAGGGGAGATGGCGAAGGGGGAGGAAGGGAGGGGGGACAGCAAAGGGGGAGGAACGGAGGGGGGACGAAAATGGGGGAGGGGCGCAGGGGGGGACGAGAAAGGGGGAGGGACGGAGGGGGGACGAGAAAGGGGGAGGGACGGAGGGGGACGGCTAAGGGGGAGGGGCGGAGGGGGGACGACAAAGGGGGAGGAACGGAGGGGAGATGGCGAAGGGGGAGGAAGGGAGGGGGACAGCAAAGGGGGGGGAACGGAGGGGGGACGACAAAGGGGGAGGGAAGGAGGGGGGACGACAAAGGGGGAGGGACGTAGGGGGGACGGCAAAGGGGGAGGAACGGAGGGGAGATGGCGAAGGGGGAGGAAGGGAGGGGGGACAGCAAAGGCGGGGGAACGGAGGGGGGATGACAAAGGGGGAGGGAAGGAGGGGGGACGGCAAAGGGGGAGGGAAGGAGGGGGGATGACAAAGGGGGAGGGACGGAGGGGAGATGGCAAAGGGGAAGGAAGGGAGGGGGGACAGCAAGGTGGGGGGAACGGAGGGGGGACGACAAAGGGGGAGGAACGGAGGGGGGACGACTAAGGGGGGAGGATGGAGGGGGGACGGCAAAGGGGGAGGAACGGAGGGGGGACGGCAAAGGGGGGGAACGGACGGGGGACGGCAAAGGGGGAGGGGAGAAGGGGGGACGACAAAGTGGGAGGGGCGGAGGGGGGACGAGAAAGGGGGGGGAACGGAGGGGGGACGACAGAGGGGGAGGAATGGAGGGGGGACGGCAAAGGGGAGGAACGGAGGGGGGACGACAAGGGGGAAGGATGGAGGGGGGACGGCAAAGGGGGAGGAATGGAGGGGGGACTGAAAAGGGGGGGGAACGGACGGGGACGGCAAAGGGGGAGGGAGAAGGGGGGACGACAAAGGGGGAGGGGCGGAGGGGGGACGAGAAAGGGGGGGAACGGAGGGGGGACGACAAAGGGGGAGGAACGGAGGGGGGACCGCAAAGGGGGAGGAACGGAGGGGGCACGAGAAAGGGGGGGGAAGGGAGGGGGGACGACAAAGGGGGAGGAACGGAGGGGGGACGACTAAGGGGGGAGGATGGAGTGGGGACGGCAAAGGGGGAGGAACGGAGGGGGGACGGCAAAGGGGGGGAACGGACGGGGGACGGCAAAGGGGAGGGGAGAAGGGGGACGACAAAGTGGGAGGGGCGGAGGGGGGACGAGAAACGGGGGGGAACGGAGGGGGGACGACAGAGGGGGAGGAATGGAGGGGGGACGGCAAAGGGGGAGGAACGGAGGGGGGATGGCAAAGGGGGGGGATCGGACGGGGGACGGCAAAGGGGGAGGTGAGAAGGAGGGATGAGGAGGGGCGGAGGGGGGATGACGAAGGGGGGGGAACGGAGGGGGGATGACTAAGGGGGGGAAATGGAATGGGGACGGCCAAGGGGGAGGAAAGAAGGGGGGCCGACAAAGGGGGAGGGGCGGAGGGGGGACGAGAAAGGGGGGGAAGGGAGGGGGGACGACAAAGGGGGAGGAACGGAGGGGGGACGACTAAGGGGGGAGGATGGAGGGGGGACGGCAAAGGGGGAGGAACGGAGGGGGGACGGCAAAGGGGGGGGAACGGACGTGGGACGGCAAAGGGGGAGGGGAGAAGGGGGGATGACAAAGTGGGAGGGGCGGAGGGGGGACGAGAAAGGGGGGGGGACGGAGGGGGGATGACAAAGGGGGAGGTACGGAGGGGGGACGAGAAAGGGGGAGGAACGGAGGGAGGACGACAAAGGGGGAGGAAAGGAGGGGGTACGGCAAAAGGGGAGGGGCGGAGGGGGGACGACAAAGGGGGGAGAATGAAAGGGGGACGGCAAAGGGGGAGGGAAGAAGGGGGGACGACAAAGGGGAGGGGCGGAGGGGGGACGAGAAAGGGGGGGGAATGGAGGGGGGACGACAAAGGGGGAGGAACGGAGGGGGACAGCAAAAGGGGAGGAACGGAGTGGGGACGACAAAGGGGGAGGAACGGAGGGGGGACGACAAGGGGGGAAGGATGGAGGGGGGACGGCAAAGGGGGAGGAACGGAGGGTGGACGGCAAAGGGGGGGAAACGGACGGGGGACGGCAAAGGGGGAGGGGAGAAAGGGTTACGACAAAGGGGGAGGGGCGGAGGGGGGACGAGAAAGGGGGGGGATCGGAAGGGGGACGACAAAGGGGGAGGAACGGAGGGGGGACGGCAAAGGGGAGGAACGGAGGGGGACGGCAAAGGGGGAGGAACGGAGGGGGGACGGCAAAGGGGGGGGAACGGACGTGGGACGGCAAAGGGGGAGGGGAGAAGGGGGGATGACAATGTGGGAGGGGCGGAGGGGGGACGAGAAAGGAGGGGGGACGGAGGGGGGATGACAAAGGGGGAGGTACGGAGGGGGGACGAGAAAGGGGGAGGAACGGAGGGAGGACGACAAAGGGGGAGGAAAGGAGGGGGTACGGCAAAAGGGGAGGGGCGGAGGGGGGACGACAAAGGGGGGAGAATGAAAGGGGGACGGCAAAGGGGGAGGGAAGAAGGGGGGACGACAAAGGGGGAGGGACGGAGGGGGGACGAGAAAGGGGGGGAATGGAGGGGGGACGACAAAGGGGGAGGAACGGAGGGGGGACAGCAAAAGGGGAGGAACGGAGTGGGGACGACAAAGGGGGAGGAACGGAGGGGGGACGACAAGGGGGGAAGGATGGAGGGGGGACGGCAAAGGGGGAGGAACGGAGGGTGGACGGCAAAGGGGGGGAAACGGACGGGGGACGGCAAAGGGGGAGGGGAGAAAGGGTTACGACAAAGGGGGAGGGGCGGAGGGGGGACGAGAAAGGGGGGGGATCGGAAGGGGGACGACAAAGGGGGAGGAACGGAGGGGGGACGGCAAAGGGGGAGGAACGGAGGGGGGACGGCAAAGGGGGAGGAACGGAGGGGGGAAGACGAAGGGGGGGGAAGAGAGGGGGGACGGCCAAGGGGGAGGAACGGAGGGGGGACGGCCAAGGGGGAGGAACGGAGGGGGAACGACAAAGGGGGAGGGACGGAGGGGGGATGACGAAGGGGGGGAACGGAGGGAGGACGACAAAGGGGGAGGAAAGGAGGGTTGACGGCAAAAGGGGAGGAACGGAGGGGGACGATAAAGGGGGAGGGGCGGAGGGGGGACGAGAAAAGGGGAGGAACGGAGGGGGGACGGCAAAGGGGGAGGAACAGAGGGGGGACAGCAAAGGGGGAGGAACGGAGGGGGGACGGCAAAGGGGGAGGAACGGAGGGGGGAAGACGAAGGGGGGGGAAGAGAGGGGGGACGGCCAAGGGGGAGGAACGTAGGGGGGACGGCCAAGGGGGAGGAACGGAGGGGGGACGATAAAGGGGGGGGGACGGAGGGGGGACGACTAAGGTGGGGAACGGAGGGAGGACGACAAGGGGGGAGGAAAGGAGGGGTGATGGCAGAAGGGGATGAACGAAGGGGGGACGACAAGGGGGTGGGGAATGGAAGGGGGACGGCCAAGGGGGAGGAAAGAAGGGGGGCCGACAAAGGGAGAGGGGCGGAGGGGGACGAGAAAGGGGGGGGAACGGAGGTGGGACGGCAAAGGGGAAGGAACGGAGGGGGGATGGCAAAGGGCGAGGGGCGGAGGGGGGATGATAAAGAGGGGGGAACGGAAGGGGGACGACAAAGGGGGAGGAACGGTGGGGGGACGGCAAAAGGGGAGGAACGGAGGGGAGACGTCAAAGGGGGAGGAATGGAGGGGGGACACCAGCGCCAACGCCAGCGCCAGCGCCAAAACGCCAGCGCCAACGTCAAAACGCCAGCGCCAGCGCCAGAACACCAACGCTAGCGCCAGAACGCCAGCGCCAGCGCCAGTGCTAGCGCCTATTCGCCAGTGCCAGTACCAGCACCAGCACGAGCGCGAGCGCCAAATCGTCAGCGCCAGCGCCGAATCGCCAGCGCCGAAATGGCAGTGCCAGCGCCAGCGCCAAGGCCAAAACGCCAGCGCTAGCGCCAAGACGCCAACGCAAGTGCCCGCGCAAGTGCCAGCGCCAGCGCCAAAACGTCAGCGCCCGGCGCCAAATCGCCAGCGCCAGTGCCAGCGCCAGCGCCAGCGCCAAAATGCCAGCGCCAAATGCTTAGCGCTAGAGCTAACGCCAGCGCCGCTTTTTCTAGACGCGCCCAACGGTACTATGCTTACCAGGTAAATAGGCCGATTGAAACTTGGAAGTTTGGAAAGCTTGAGGGAAGGAATGTGAGGGAAGTTGGAAAGCTAGCTGCGATGAATGAATGTCTGAACGAGAAACGCACGAGGAGAAGGAAACAAAAGACACATTGGGAGGAGGAAATAAGAAACGCACAGGAACAACGAAACAAGAAACGTACACCCCATCCCGATGCGCGTTGATTGTTTGTACAGAATATGAGGCACTGTCGTCAGGTTTCTCTGGTAGTTGCAGGTTTCAACTTCAAGCTGGTACAAGCTTGTGACACCACATGCGATACTTGAGGTACCTCAGCCCATAATGATTAGGCTTTAGAATGTTTCGTCAATGATTCATTAAACAGGAACAAGCAGGTTTCTTGCGTAGTTTCGGCTTCGGCACGTGCTTGGATGTCAAATCCAGTGTGTTACAACCTAACGCTATAATGATGAGGCTACTGAATGATGTCAAAATTATTATATCAATATAAGTATGATATTATTACATGTGTATACATAATAAAAATTAACGCATTATATCAGTATATTCATGTCAAAATAATACATACATCAAAATCATCGTTATGTGAAAACCACTATATCAATATCATCAGATCAATATAAATATTATATCACAACATGTGTACATTTAAATTAATAAACCCTTGATGTGACCTAGACAAAGGTGAAAAGCCTATACTGTGCTCAACGCAATTATTGTAATACGATAAAAATTAGATCTGTACATTTTCCTCTATCCATACCATTAAGAATCATCTTCACTTTATTGTATTATAAATATTATTATTTATAATATTGTTAGGAGATGTGTTGATTCCCAACCAAACAATACATTCCTCACACCTATACAGTTATGAACTTTAATATGAAATGTAAATTTAGATATCATACAAACTGTATTATTATTATGATTCCATACATTGGAAATCTACAGACTACGCAACCCATCCGACGATTTACGTCGAGCCTTGTCTTTCCATTTTGCTAGGGTTTTGCCAAGCAACAGTGTCTCGTTCTTGTTCGGCTCGTCCCTCCGTCGTTCCACCTCGTTCTCCGCTCTTTGCTCGTGTCTGGTTCTTGCTCGTACTGAATATGTCACATAATCGAATGAGTCGAGGAAAGATTGCACTATCGATCAGTACAAGGCACTTTTTATACTTCCAGAGTACATCAGGTAACCAGATTTATCTTATCCCAAGGGAATAGACCCTTTTAGAAGATAGAATCACCCTGCGTATAGCCACGCGAGGCTATTGGCTTTAAGGGATTACGGCAGGATTACGCTCGCTAGAGCGTGCCAGTACATCCCAAGCCTGGTCGGTGATATAATTATAATAACAGGATAAGCCAAAGGATAATGGAAAATGGAGAATAGGAAACCAAGTAAGATGAGAGAAAAACAGAGATGAAATAGAAAGGAAAGAGAAGAAGGGACAAGTGGTGTAACGGGGTCGTACTCTCACACTTCCCCCCCTCAAAGCTGGGTGGTAGAGGGCGACGGGCATTACCCATGTTGGTCTCAGGTATCCACCTGTCCTCGGACGGATCATAACCCTTCCAACGAATAAGAAGCTCCACGGTGCCATTCTGACGACGGCGGTGTGCAAGCACGGACTCGACCTCGTACTCGGGTTCATTCTGGATGAGGACGGGTGGCGGCGGCGACGGTTGGCATCCGACGAAGATCGTGTTCGGATCCCGATAGGGCTTCAGAAGTTGGACATGGAAGGCGTTGTAAATCTTCCAGGTAGCTGGCAGGCGTAAGCGGAAGGTAGCAGGAGTGACCTGTGCTTCAACGAGAAAAGGCTCGTAGAAGCGAGGTCGCAGTTTGGATGGGAGATGGCTGATGTCGAGATTGCGTGTGACTAGAAGCACCTAGTCTCCCACGGTGATGGTGTGGTCATTGCGATGGCGATCAGCGTGGCGCTTCTGTTGCTGCTGGATGTCAAGGAGGTGCTTGTGGGTCCGATCCCAAAGTTGATGCATGGTTGTGATGAAGTCGTGTGCAGGTTGGACTATCGCTGATGTTGTCGCTTTCTGTGGTGTAAGTGGGTGGCGTCCGTAGCAGAGGAAGAACGGTGTCAGTTCAGTAGCGGCATGCGTAGCGTTGTTGTAAGCAAACTCAAGAACGGGCAGGTGCAAGTCCCATTTGGAGATCTCGTCCTTGCAGGCTGCTCGGAGGAGTTGCTCAACAATCTGGTTGAGACGCTCGGTCTGTCCGTCTGTCTGCGGATGGTAGGCGGATGACATGGCAAGTTTGGTCCCGAGCAGAGACATTAGTTCCTTCCAGAACTTGCTGGTGAACTTGGGGTCTCGGTCGGAGATGAGAGTGGTTGGAATGCCATGTTGTGAGATAATGTAGCGTACGAAGAGTTGTGCTGTCTCCTCGATGCGTGCTATCGTGTGTGTCGGGATGAAGTGTCCCATTTTGGAGAATTTGTCGATGACGACAAGGATTGCGTCATGACCACTGGTGGTAGGTGGTAACCCGGTGATGAAATCCACGCTAACCACTAGCCATGGTTGTTCTGGGACAGGAAGAGGCTGTAGCAGTCCCGCCTTCTTCTGCTTGCTGCTCTTCATCCGTTGACATGTATCACACGAGGTGACGAATTTCTGAACATCGTCTGCCAAGTGGTGCCACTAGTAGTGCTTTGCGATACCGGTCAGTGTCTTGTTGCTACTGAAGTGTCCAGCGTATAGAACGTCGTGGTATTCTTCGAGTAGTAACTGGCGCAAAGGAGGGTAGTTAGGTACCCAGATTTTCGTTGATCCTTTCCGGTACGCGATGTCACTGTCCCACTGTAGCAGGCGTCGCTTTTCTGCCAAGGGAATTTCGGGGTCGATGGAGTACCCGTGGGTGAAGAGTCCCTTGAGTAGTGGATTCATCCCCTCAACTTGGATAGCGGCAACGTGTGCAGGTCGGCTAAGCGCATCTGCTTTGTTTTTATGGCCGGGCTTGTACATGAAGTCATAGTGGAAGTGTGTCTCGAGGAAGTCGATCCACCGGACCTGCCGACTGGAGAGATTCGGTTGTGTCTTCAAATATTTCAGGCTGCACTGGTCGGTGTAGACGGTTGTTCTTCGTCCTTCGAGATAACATCTCCACGCTTTGAAGGCGATGACAATAGCCGAGGCCTCTTTGTTGTGTATCGGGTAGTTTAGTTCTTCCCTGCGCAGTTTCTTACTGAGGTACGCGATTGGTTGCAGTCCATTCCCTTGGTCTTGCATCAAGACTGCTCCCACTGCCTGGTCGCTGGCGTCAGCTTCGATGACGTAGGCGCGTTCGGGATCTGGCAGGATGAGTACTGGGGCGGACATGAGTGCTTGTTTCAGCTCCTCCACGGCTTCCTAGTGTTTCGGCTCCCACTTGTAGGGCGTGTTCTTCTTCAGCAGATTCGTGAGTGGTGCGGCGATTTTTGCGTATTGTGGCACGAACCTGTTGTAGTAGTTAGCGAAGCCTAGGAACTGCTGCAACTCCTTCACATTCTCGGGTGTCTTCCACGTACGTACGGCTTCGATTTTCTTGGGGTCGATGTGAACTCATTGAGCGCTCATCATGTGTCCTATGAATTGGACTTTCTCAAGGGCGAATTCGCTCTTGGACAGTTTGACGTAGAAGCGTTCTCGTCGTTGAATTTCGAAGACGCGTCGCAGGTGTTCGACGTGCTGCTTCATGTCGCGCGAGTAGATGAGGATGTCGTCCAGGTACACCACCACGCACTCGTCCAAAAGTGGTCGTAGGATGTGGTACATTTCGGCTTGGAATGTTGCCGGTGCGTTGGTGAGTCCGAACGGCATTACCATATACTCGTACGATCCGTACCGAGTTCGGAAAGCAGTTTTGTGGATAGAGTTGTCCGCCATCCGTACCTACCAGTATCCGAACCCTAGATCCAGTTCGGAAAATACCGTAGCTCCCTGAAGCTGGTCAAGCAGGTCATCGATCCGTGGTATCAGATATTTATTTTTGATGGTCTGTTTGTTAAGAGCTTGGTAGTCGATGCACATGCGCAAGCTTCCGTCCGGTTTCGGCGTGAAGAGCCACT